GACCGCCTGTGGTGCTAGCATCCCATATGGGCACTGGTTCATTTCCAGCTGCTCCACTTCTAATCCAGCTCCCTACTAATGGCCTGGGAAAGCAGCAGAAGATGGCCCAAGTCCTTGGGTCCCTTGTCACCCATGTGGGAGACCTGGAAAAAGCTCCTGGTTCCTGGTTCCTGAACCAGTGAATGGGAGATCTGTCTCTCCCTACTTCTTTCAAATAAAAAAGAGAGTATTTTAAAAAAAGGAGAAATGTGAAAGGATCAGGAGATTGTCTTTATCAAATTTAAAGTTATTGCATATTACATACACCATACACCTAGTTTTGGCTTTGACATTCTTCTGCAGTTGCAGAAAAACAGTGTATCCAAAAATACACCAGAAACTGGAAGGGTAATTATTTAGCACAAAATGGTAATAGCAAACATGATACAAGCCACATCAAACACAATTACTGTGTTTCTTCAATTGAATTGAAAAGTGCCTCTGTGTGGCCAGGAAGAAGAAACAATCATCATTGGTATCAGAGCCCAGAAGATATTTTTCTATCTCTTTCCCCCCTATCAGCAGCACCCGACTCTCCACCAGAACCTAGGGAGGAAAAAGTCTTTTTTTTTTTTTTTAAACATCTTTTATTTATTTGAAAGGCAGAGCAGTGCAACAGAGAGATGGGGGGGTGGGGGGGATCATTTATCCATTGGTTCAGTCCCCAAATAACCACAACAGCTAGGGCTGGCCAGGCTGAAGCCAGGAGCCAGGAATTCCATCCAGGTCTCCCATGTGGGAGGTGAGTACCCAACCATTTGCCCCACCACCTGCTGCCTCCCAGGGTGTGCACTAGCGAGAAGCTGGAATTAGGTGCAGAGGTGAGGCTCAAACCCAGGCACTCAAACATGAAATGCAGGTATTCCAAACCACGGGCCGGACGCCTGAGCCTTTTTTTCCTTTTCATATCAATTTTCATTTTTAACTGACAAAAAATGTGCTGGTATTCTTAAACATCAGGACGAGTGATTACTGTGGACTGCTGGCAGAGACATTGAGGTGTCTACTGTGGACCCTTAAGCCTGAATCATGGGGTGGGCGCTGTGGCAGAGCAGGTTAAGCCTCCATCTGTAATGCCGACATCCCATTGGGTGCCAATTAGAGTACTGGTTGCTCCACATCCAACCCAGCTTCTTGCTAATGTGCCTAGGAGAAGCAGCGAAGATGGTCCACATCCTTGGGCCCCTGCACTCATGTGGGAGACCTGGAGGAAGCTTCTGGCTCCTGGCTTCAGCCTGGGCCAGCCCTGGCTGTTGTGGCCATTTGGAGAGTGAACCAGCAGATGGAAGATCTCTTTGTCTCTTCCTCTCCCTCTCTGTAACTCCACCTTTCAAATAAATAAATAAATAAAATTTTAATAAAAAGCCTGAATCATAATCAGGACTCTGACAAAAGACTCAGAAACTACACCAATATTCATGTATGCATTTTTTTCAGGATTTTAGGCAGCAGTATAAAACCAAATTGAAAGATGAATCACACTTTGATCAGCTAGAGCTAAGAACTTTTTAAAACAGTTACTGTGTTATCAACCTGTTTCAGTGATTTTCTTAGTCTTGACAGTCTTACAGGTATTTTTTTTTAAATTTATTTATTTATTTGAAAGGCAGTTACAGAAAGGCAGAGGCAGAGAGAGAGAGAGCGAGAGCGAGAGCAAGAGAGAGGTCTTCCATCCGCTGGCTCTCCCCAGACGGCTGAAACGGCCGGAGCTGCGCCGATTGGAAGCCAGGAGCCAGGAGCTTCTTCTGGGTCTCCCACGCGGGTGCAGGTGCCCAAGGACTTGTGCCATCTTCCACTGCTTTCCCAGGTCATAGCCGAGAAGTAGATCGGAAGCAGAGCAGCTGGGACTAGAACCGGTGCCCATATAGGATGCCAGCACTGCAGATGGCGGCTTTATCTGCTACGCCAGAGCACTGGCCCCTCTTACAGGTATTACCTTCCAAATATGTTTTATTGGATTTGGTAACACATGGGCTTACATCAATTTGGACTGCCTGGATTAGAATCTCTGATTCACTGCCGGCACCGCGGCTCACTTGGCTAATCCTCCGCCTGCGGCGCCGGCACCCCAGGTTCTAGTCCCGGATGGGGTGCTGGGTACTAGTCCCGGTTGCTCCTCTTCCAGTCCAGCTCTCTGCAGCGGAGGATGGCCCATACCAAGACAGACTTGACCACCTCAGCCAAAGGCCACGCCCACTGAAAAGGATTATTTGTGCCTGATCTGTGTGCTTGCAAATGTGGTGGGATCATTCTTTTTTCTCGTTGTCTTTCTCCCTCTCCACTTCAAAGCTGTTTTCAGCCCGTCTTGCACATCTAGTGTTGCAAGTGGCGGCTTAACCTGCTGCACCACATCACCAATCCTTAACTATTTTGAATACAGTTTGATTTGGAGGAACAAGTTGCCCAGTGGAACCTCGAGATTTTCCTCATAATTAATGGTTGTCATTTTTCTCCAGCGTATCCAGCCTTTGGGTACAGCATTCACTTTCTGGGCCCAAGGCCTGCCACTGAAGTACAAGCCCAGCAGGCATACTCCCAACACACATAATCCACTTCAAAGGAGTTACATCACGATAGACTTTGTTTCTTAATCTCGTAACCTGTGTACTGGGCAGCATCACCTGGTATTTTGAGTATCCTGACATTCACATACACGGTTTGTGTCTGGTTTCTCTCCCTGAGCAGGAGCTGTCCAGCTTCAACCATGTTGCAGTATGGTTCAATACATGGCTGCAAAGTGTTCCACTGCGTGAGCACGCTGCATTTTGTTTATCCCGTCATCAATTGATGGACAAATGGGTCCTTTCCGCTTTGGAGACACTGACACTGTCCTTCCTTTATGAACACTGTTGTTCAAGCAGCTGTGTATAGACATGTTTTTAATTCAGTGAAAATGCTGGGTCGTATGGTAACAGTATGATTAACTTTTTAAGCAACTCCAAAGTATTTTCCAAAGTGACTGTACCACTTGACCTTCCCATGAGAAACTCCCAAGGGTTTCAATCTCTTCACATTCTCATCTCAGCCAGCAGAGTGAGGTATCATCTCACTGTGGTTTCATTTACTTTCCCTTAACGAATGGTGTTATGCTTACTCCTTATGCTTACTGGCCATTTGTCTGTCTTGCTCAGAGCAGGTGCATTAAGATCCTTTGCCCATTTTCAACTGGGCTTTTCTGAGTTTGAAGAGTTCTATTCTTGCACATTCTGGCTACCAGGCTCGTTTTAGACACACGATCTGCAAACATTCTCTCCCAGTCTACAGACTGTCTTTTCATTTTTCATGGTATCTTTTGAAGCATAACATTTTTTTCTTCTGTTAAGAGTCTAGTTGATCTATTTTTGTCTTTGGTTGCTTAACCTTTTGTCATATTGAAGAAGCCGCTGTCTAATCTAGGGGTGGGGAGTGTATGGCCCTCAGGCTGCACAAGGCCTGTAAAATCATTTGTTATGGCCCTGCCAAGGGAAACTGCACACAGGACTCAAAATTCAATAAAACCAGAGCAGGTCAATTTTTAAATTGACACTTTTGTATGGCCCACAAATAACATTATAAATATCCAAAGGACCCTTGGCAGAAAGAGTTCCCCACTCTTGCAATCCAAGATTAAGGTCTACTTCTACTTTTTTTTTTTTTTTAAAGATTTATTTATTTAAAGTCAAAGTTATACAGAGAGAGAGGTCTTCCAGCTGATGGTTCACTCCCCAGTTGGCTGCAATGGCCGGAGCTGCACAGATCCGAAGCCAGGAGCCAGGAGCCTCATCCATGGGTCTCCCACACGGGTGGAGGGGCGCAAGCACTTGGGCCATCTTCTACTGCTTGCCCAGGCCATAGCAGAGAGCTGGATCAGAAGTGGAAAAGCCAGGACTAGAACTAGCACCCATATGGGATGCTGGCACTGCAGGCCAGGGCATTAACCCACTGCACCACAATGCCGGCCCCTACTTCTACATTTTTAGAGTTTTAAGGCCTTAGCTCTTAAAATATTTAGCTGTGGGACCCATTTTGAGTTACTTTTTGGCTCTGATGTTAACCTTGATCTTTGGATGTGGAGACCCTGTTTCCCCAGCGCCATTTGCTAGAGATCCTTTCTGCACTGGAGTGCCTTGGTATCCTTGGTAACAGAAATCAATCAACTATAAACGCAAGGGTTTATTTCTGTTTGCTACCTGGCTTCCTTGTACTACCTTATGAATTTAGGTTTAGCTTGTCCATTTCTGCAAAGATGGTAGCTGAGACAGATAGGAATTGTATTGAATCTCTAGATCAATTTTCGAGTATTATCATCTTAACAATATTTATTTGGACTAATGCATTGCTTTTCCATCTAAACTATGGGATAAAACTTTGTATTTTCCAGAGCAAAAAATATAACTTTTCTATTTTCCCTAAAGCAAAACTTATTTTTTCTGACTCTGATTTATGAAGTAACATTCTATTTTGTTGTTATGTAATGATCATTTCAGATTATATTTTATGAAGTAAAACGTGGGAAGCCACAACCATCTCACCTGATTAGCTATAGCTACTTAGCTTTTTTACTCACCTCATTGTTCAAAGACCATTAACAACCAATATTTTTTCCCATTTTTCAAAGGACATAAAGTAGCAGCTATGGGGTCTTATTCTTTCTGATGGAATGATTCTGTGTGTAGAAAGGCATGTGTGTTTAAAAGTGTGAATGTGCAAAATACTGGGCAGAAACCTCTTGGAATACATGTCACTCCTGGATCAGCACTGGCTGTCCCTTTTATCCAGTAGGTCAAATGAATTTTGGGATGATTTTTAGTCACTTCTCTGACAACTGAGTATCTTCAATCTGGGTATTAGGCAAAATTCTTTTGGTATTTAGAGACAAGTAAAAAGTCCTATTAGCTACAGGGGGAGAAAGGTTCTATATAAAAAAAGAGACAAGCTTTTACAATGAATTGGGAAAAAATGCAAACGACACATTAAAACACTTAACAGAAACTTGACATTTATTGTGCAATTTTATTCCCAACAGAACATGTGGCATTATAGAGGTATATGAGGTAATAAAATCAATACTCCAATTAGAACACCTGAAATAATTGGCTCTAGTAACAAATGTCTCTTATAATTAAAAATATTAAATGTTTAAAAAACTCTTATAACATTTTAGGTTCCTAAAAGAAATGTGCCTAACACTTAAAAAACAACTTACTCTTCTATATAAATTGTTCACAAAAAAATCTTGCTATTCTATATTACACTATGCATTTGTAGCTTTATTAACATATCCCTAGTGTGTATAACTCTACACAGTACAATCAAATAGAAATTATTAATAATCAACAAGACTTCAACAATAAAAATATTAGGATCGATGGATCTGTCACAGTTTCTCCACAAGTATTCATCATAGAAAATAGAGTAAAGGCAAGTTGGCCCCAGTGTTAGGCTGCTACATGAAGTTCCAGAGAAGAGAGACATAAAGGCAATGCTCAAAGTGGACAAGGCTGGACTGGACCAGTGACCTTCCAAGTTTTATCACCCACCTCTGGCATGCCCTGTTCCCAAGAAACACAAATCAGGGCCCGCGTGGCCTTGGCATGCCATTGAAAACTGAAACACAGCCAAAAGGGATGCTGAAGCCAAAACTACAGGGAGATCCACAGATCACTGCATTTCCTACAAAACGTTCACCACGGGACTCACAGTGACAACATAAAACCCTCTCTTCCAAACCAGACTCATCAACTGCAAGGCTACAAAGATGACGAATGGAAATGTGAATGGAGCACTGGCTACTGCCCAGGGATACCCAGGGCCCCTTGTAACATGAAGGACTTCCCAAAGACCACCACTTCACTGAGCTCAAACCTTTGCTTTTATATCTCTGTTTCTGCTACTGGCAACCTATGAAAAAAATGTCAACAAGCTAGTGACTTTAATTTACCCACTCCTACAGCCTTCTGTACATCTTATGCAGGAAGCTGGACATTTCTGAGGGTGTATGGTTTGTATGCTCAAGTACCTCTTTACTTCCAAAGACCTTTTTAATAAGAAAAATATCAATTTTCCTCTGTAATCTGCTTTGAATGGGCCCAAATAGTTTTCTAATATGCCACAACACATCTGGCCACTTGCACTGGAGTGAGTCTTGCAAACAGATATATTTTTATTGCAATTTGAGGAATTCTGACTCAATGAAACCACAGCCTATATATTGTTAGTCCAGTAAGGCCGGTTATAAGGAAAATTAACCTGTTCACTGTTATTGCAAAGATTTAATACTTTCAACAGACAAACTGCCCAAGCTGGACATCAGATGAGAGAAGTCAAGTCCTCTCACTGTTTCTTACAACTGAATATACTTCGGAGGGTAAAATGGCCTCTAAGGTATTTATTTCAGTTAAAGTTTTGAATGTGACATTTGGAAGGCAAATCCTGATGGGTTATTATTTTTGCACTTCATGTTGTCTGATGTCACTTCTTCAGTCTCCTCTAAGAAACAATGTGAATAAAAGAACCAATGCCATCAGCTGACAATACAAATAACTTCATAGAGGGCCATCAGCTGGGTGACATTTCCCTACATCATTCCCAGTGAAGTGGTTATTTTTATCCAGTACTTACATGACTGAAAGCAGCCATCACTATGTTTACAAAAATACATCGTAATGATACATACTGCTGTTTAGACACATTTACATTAGAGTTCTGACTCAAGCATCTTATTTGACATGTTTGCCAAGCAGTTTTGGCAAGTGTTGCCACATTAAACATACACAGCAAGACTTGCACCATATGTGCAAAATCATTTTCTATTACATTTCTAAAAATCTGTATATAAGAGCTGTCAAAAATTAAAACAGATCTGTACTGTGAAATGACATAGCACTGAATGAGCACAGTGATACTCAATTTTTTCTACAAATGAAGTTACCAAGGAATCTTACAAATCTAAGAAGAAACTAAGGAGGTAGTCAATGGCTACTCAGGTTCTACAGCCCATACTGAATGACAGAATCCAACTGAAGGCAAGGTATTGCTTGTCTACACAGAGGTGTTTTATCTTTACATGATGTGTTATGTTTTCTGAGCAACAGAAGTCATTAGAAGGGACAGGAAAATGGGAAATCATGAACCTGTAGATTCCCAAGTTTGAATTATTTTCTGAATTTTGGGTAGACATTAGATAGTACAACAGTTACTGAACTTTAAAAAGCCATTCTATCAATATAAGTTACCGTCTCTTGATGCCACATGTAGTTGGGTCAAGTAATAGACTATAGCAACTTATATCTCCTTATAATCTGAGGGAAGGAATCTCTTGTATCAATGTGTTTTTATCACGGGTGAAGGAATAAGCAATGACACAGAACAAAAAATCACCCACTCACTCTACAGTTATAAATCAGCTCTACGAGTCCTTTAAAAGTTTGTGGAAAATGCCTATTCTGAAAAAAACTATGCAAGAATTTCGACATTGTGTTTGCACCAAAATAAAGTCAGCTTTCAATTCTGTTTTGTCAAGAATCTCGTGAAGTACCCTTGTACACATCACGTACCTCAATTCCCCTACCAGAGGGGATGACACAGTTTTCTGCCAACACCCTAATACTCTCCGCTACATTCCTCATGAGCGACACCAAGAGCGACAGCAACCTAAATGCTGAGGCGCAGTGAGGAATCCTGGGGATGACTCTGGAGTTCAAGGGCTGCGGGAAACATTCAGGAAAAAAAAGAGGAGTTACAATCTAAATGTCTCCAGTTTTTCTTGAGAACACTGAACACTGCAGTTGAAGCAGGAGGCTCTGGACACTGCACCACCAAGAGACACCATGAGAACTCTCACTTCAGCAGCTGCCCGCAGAGCACTGCTCCCCTCTGCAGGACCCTGGCCAGCGTCCTCTGCCACACAGCACGCCAGGGTCCTCTACCCTTAGCCTGTCTGGAACTGTACTGGGGGCATCAGTTCACTGTGAAAAGCAGCATGATCTTTGTATAGGACTTTAATTTGGAAAACAGAGGACACACTGAGCTGCTGTCACCAGTAGTGGACGTGGGCTATGGACTCACCTAGTCGTCGACAGCAAGTCCACGTCTAGTCTTCGTGGGTCTGGAGAGCCATCAGTGGAGCACTGGTGCCTCCTGAGCTGTTTTAATATAACCTGTGTTACACCAACACTAAAATGACTAAAAGCTGACATGAGTCTACACCGCTTGTCTAACAGCAATTGGTCCAAATTTCAGAGACGCGGAAAATCAAATCAACAAGCAACATCTTCAGGTCTCCAAAGTGATCAACTGAAAGGCCGAGGGAGCAGTGATGACATCCAGTCTTCCTGAGTGATGACCCTTTAACCTCGCTGTTCATAGGACTGCACAGGGCTGAGCAGAAAAGAAATGAACCTCTTCTGCAGGCCTGACATAAGACTCACGTGAACACAGGTGACGTAACAGCCTTGCAGGTGACCTCCGTGGCAGGATGGGTCAGTCCTAGGATGAGGGCTAGTGAAGTATGAGAGCTCATGCTATGTCACAGCCTAAGCGGCATCTGGGTCAGGCAGTGGGCCAGGCTAATGGAATGCGGCAATTACACAAACAGGGTTAACTCAACAGTACTGCTGCCCCGGGACAGGGGAGCCTAGGACCCAGCACTCCCAGAGGCATTAGGACTGGCTGGGTGGTACTGAGCACTTCATCTCTGTAGGCCTCGGTTTCCTCATGCACAACAGACAGCCAATGCGCAGCTCCAAAGTTCTAGAATCTGCACTGGAAACAGTTGATAGAGAAATCAGGTGGATGGGATGAGAGGACGGTGGTGAGAATTACAGCCAATCCACAGGTTGCCGTCACCACCCCCCCTCCACCCAAGGAGGAGTGCAGACCAGCGACCAGCACCACAGGGCTCCAGAGTGAAGAAGAAATGAGCAGAACCCAAGAAAACGCTAGGAGCTGGGGGTCTGCTCTTCTTACAAGCAGTGGCCGTACGCTGCTGCTGTAGATAAAGGCCAATGTGCTCATCAGCAGTAAGGATCACCGTAGCCCAGTGCGAAACAGGAAGACAGAACTGCAAGACCCACAGGCCACGGAGGGGCTCCCCTCAGGCAAGCTTTCATGCTGTCAAAGAATCGGACCTGGCACTGACTTCCTAGAGCTCTAACAACGCTTCCAGAGGCATCTTCCTTCCTTGCACAGCCACGGCTGTCTTAAGCAACATCCCATTTGTCCCCAGCACTGCTTTTCCAAATTCTTACTAACTTTTCCAAAACAGGATTGCTATGTTACTTCTCCCTACAGTTACTGAATAAATCTGACACACGTGCACTCCTGGAAACATTAAATTCTTCAAGGGTTGAAATCAACAAAAAGACCCATTTCTAAGACTCAGCCTATAGTACTATGTGGTAAATTTAAGGACAATTTAGGGTCTTACTTGGACCAAAACATGGCAAGACAGAAACCTTTATAAATGGACACTCAAAACCCTCAGCTATGTTTGCAGATGCCATTAACAGCCTTAAACAAACACTGCCCATGTAGTCCTCTGCTTTCCCAAAAAATGCAGCAGCCTGGACCAGTTCAGTAAAGGAAGCGCTTCTGACATGCCACGTGATGCCCTCAGAAGTCAGGGCTCCAGCACCTCGACAGCATTTGCTGATTGAGGAAAGGTCCCAGGACATCACTCATTCCGCCATTCGGAGATCAACAAACTGAACAGCGGACAGTGGTGGGAGGAGGGGGTGCAGAGAATATGACACGATGGGAACTTAACCACAGCTTGTAACTGGGGGAGAGGAGTAGCACATTTGGGATGAAATGGTTTCATCCATGACCATGGAGCACAGAAATTTAACACAAATTGTGAAGATCAATTCAGCACAGACAGCCCCTGAAATATCAGAGAAATCAACGACATGCCCATTGCATAGTTGCCAGACTGGCCTGGGGCTGTGTGTACACAACGCCAGAACATCTGGCTGATGCAGCCCAATGCCAGTGGTCACACAACTTGTTTGGTCTTCGGTGCACCAAACAACAAATTGGTGGAAATTCTCATTGTTCAACCCAGCATTCTGGTTCTGTGTCCACAGAGACTGACTTTAGACTAAGGAAACTGTTGGCCCCAGGAAACTATGAGATCGAACATTCAAAATGGTTCTGGACCTCTAGATGTTTCTTGACTGACAGAATGAAAAACTACTGTGTACAAACTCCACAGATCACACAGTGCGCCTTCTTGGAATTTCTTCTTTTTGTAAAGTAGCAGAAAAACAGCTGACTTCCAACTAATCACTGGCTACAGCAGTGGCCTCTGTTTCCTGACTTCTTTTTAACAGTAGACGTCAATGTAGAGGCAGCTTAGAATGTCTTTGCTGAGAACTATGAATTCAAGACTTTGGGAAACATAAAGACAGCTTATGTGAACTAAACTAACAGAACACCTGTTCCTTGGCCTTTAAAATCAACCTACGTCTCCACCCACCTTGCAGTGGCAGAGGCACTCACCCAGCCTTCCTCTCTGCGGGCCAGCTCTGCTCTGGAAAGCAGAGCTTGAAGATCTGGAGCACGTGGCTAGGCACTCCCCTATTTTTGCACCTTTACTGTCTAGCTAGCAATCATTCAAAGTCAATTGTAGTCTTCTAACATTCCAAAAGTCTGCTATGGACGGCATGGCCTTTCCAAATAACCCTAAAATGGATTTCTCCTTGGAAACCATGGCAGTAGGTCAAGAACGTTTTCAGGGTGAAAATGTGTACAGAGCGACAGAATGACATGCTTTGGAATCTCAGGTGACAGAAACAGGACATTCACAAGTGGATCTCTCGAGAAGACAGGAGAAGATGGGCGGCTCCTGTGGGGAGGTCTGGTCCACGCATCAATCCCCAGGTCCATCCTGGGAGCTCTTATTGAAGACTTCATCCTGCGAAGCCTGGTGATCCATCCCTTCATAGAATGAGCCACCGTTGTGCAGGAAAGTCCCCACGGCCCTCCCCTGCCGGGCATGACCCACAGCGTCGCTGAATACTTTGTTTATCTGTTCCTCTGAGGGCATCCACCAGTCGGGGTTGGAGGTGCAATGCATCCTAATGAATTCTGTGGGAAAATACGTAGCAGTAAAAAGAGAGAGAGAGAGAGAACAGCTGTTTTTTGCAGAGATGACAGGATAGGCTGCTTGCACTTTAACAGAAGCTTTATAAGGAAAGCTTTATGGGAAATTTGATGCAATGCCATGATGATGTCACTCATTAGATTCCACTTACTCCTTACAAATTTTCTTCCCATGTGCAAAAGCAAAACATCACCTAAGTGAGAGGGTCATTTCTCTCAGACACATTAACTGTTGAAATAAAAAATGCTTCTGAGTTATAGGACAAGGATATGCACCGTGTCTGAGCTCAGTGAGGGAAGGCGTTTCAGACGGAGAGTCCGGCACCTGCTCCCACTTCCAGAGTGCTAACTACCTCCAGAAGCGCAGCACAGACACTTGGCGTGGGCTTCTTTACCCAGCTGCTAACTGGAAGACTGAGTGCAATGAAGTCAGTCTCACTGAGTAGGAAGGTGCCTAATGTTAGCTCAGCAAAGGCTTTTCCATTCTTCACATGTCCTATGATAGGCTATACTTGCTTCCCTAATCACATGTACTGGCAAATATTTTTAAAAGTATGATCTCATCTAAGTATTTTTTTTTTTTTTTTTTTTTTTTTTTTTTTTACCAGGAAGCAATCAGCGTGCCTGGGGAAGAGGGAGTCGTTTCGGTTGCCTCTGACACAGACAACCATCATTTCTTGCCTACGTATTTTCCACCCAAGGGCTAGCTGGAGCCTGTGGGCTGTGGCGCTTGCGAGGAATGAGTGAGAGACTGCAAACTCCAGTAAAGCAGCTGTACTGCGTTGGGGCGACAGGGGGCCAGCAGCCTTCTCAGGGCAATGACACTGGTTCTTTGGGATGGACTTTAATCTCTCATTCTTACCAACTTACTATTAAAATGGACCACACGGAGTAAGAATTTCTGGAAAGCAATCCAGTTCTGAGACCCTGTAACGTGGCTCCTTTATTAGCCTGTAGGCAGTTTCTCTGCCCACATCCAACAGTGGGCCCAGCAGAGTGCTCAAGCTTAACCTGCACTAATTCCATCACCTGTGATGATGCTGGGGCGCAAGGGCAATCATGGCAAGTTTACACAGACCCTGCAAACTCCCAGCAGCTGGTCACTGAGTCAGTGGCCCACAGTGGGTGCTCTGTGCCTGGTGAGCACTGGTATTCTCAGATCACATGGCCTCGCCAAGCAAGGGCCACCTACATCATAATCCCCCAGGGTAGCTGTGACCAGGAGCCATGTGTGTCTCCCCTATCCCCACTGAATCGGGATCTCCAGGAGGGGACTGGGCATCTCAGCTGCTAACAAAGCCAATATGCATCCTGGCCCGTAGTCACAGAGTCGCTGCGGGCATTCCAGCAGGGAGCGCAGGAGCAGGGTATCCTTTCCAACAGCCGAGGCCTCATCAGCGAGAATGTTTCTGAGAATGTTTCTTTCTACGTCCTCACCAGGAGAAATCTTGACCCCTATGAAGTCTTTCCAACCCATACAACTTTGACTGAATCACAGAAGGAAATGCCTGGGATTTCTGGTACGGATGTTTCGGTGTGAAGGGTGCTGTGGCTAGCTCTGTAATGTTCCTACTTGCAGTCTGCGTTTATCTGCACCTGCTCCACAGAATGGGCTGGGCGCCTCGACTCTCCCCGCCCACCACCTGGCCTGCAGCAGTGCAGCTCAGCCGCCAAGTACTCAGCTGCCGAAATGCAGTATTAGCCAGAAAGGGCTTTTAATACAGAAACAGAAGTTTTACTAGGAAAGGTATACTTCAGGCACTTAGGAAAACCAATTCTAAACCAAGTTAAGGAGTTGGGTCAAGAATGTCTTTAAGATAGCTAACTGGGTACACAGGTTAGAAGTAGAAATGAGATACAATTTTACCCCCTTTTTCCCCCCCAAAAAATTCCACATCTTCCCTCTGTGCGCTTCCCTAATGCTCCAGTTTTGCTGGAAGTAGCCTTCACCAGCAACAAAGAAAATCTGAATTTCAAGCGTGAAACATGAGGTGCTATGCAATGCTTATGTACCACTAAGTGAGAACAACAAGGCTAAAGCAAAGGAGGGTTTTTTCCAAAGAGCTTCTCAATACCGAGTAAATGGGCCACATGAAGCCAATAAGGGCTCAGCGGAAAGAAATCAAAAACACAGTAAGGCTGAACACTTGCACGGGGAGCCACAGCCAATGCGGTGAAATGGGACCACGGATGGTGACACTGAGGGGAAGGATGCAGTACCTCGGAGGCAAGTGACTTTAACTGGATCCAGAGGGCGTCTCTCAGGACCTGTCTCTCCTGACTGCACTGACCTTTTCCTTTTCCCAAGGCCGCATGAGTACTTAAGCTCATCGGTTGTGAAAACAAATCTGATGAGGTAGCGCAGGAGTCGTCTCCCATCTTTCTTGGAGGAATTCACAGCCTCGTCCCACTGTTTGCTCGTTATGTAGACGGGATAGTTGTTCAACAGCTGCTTGCTTCCCTGGAAAAGCGGAATATTTTCTCATTACCTACCGAGCCAGCCAGCCAGCAGCCAAAGCAATCTCCATTTCAAAGGCAAACCATGCTTTGTAACCAAGTGGCTAGGCTGACAATGAACCAGGGACTGAAGAGCACAAGTAATTGCCCACACTCAGAACGGGCACTTTTCAAATTACATTTGCATTTTCTTTAACAAGAGCCAATGAGGTATAATGAACACCTTTGAAAGAGGAGCTATTTATAACTTGCATTTTAACAGGTAGGTTAAAATGTGTCAGGATCCAATGACAGGGAACACTATTTAAATATAACCTGTAACTTTCTTTTTCAATCTATTAGAATATGCAAAAATGACTTTGAAGAGTGTGATCAAACAGGTCTCTGCACCCTCTGGTTGGCAGTGGCACACTCAGAAATGATGAGGCTGGGGGCCTCCTTTAATAAGGTAGCGCTCGGGTGGGCTGCACCTCACACCTGATCGCCACTGGACCACAGTGCGAACAGCTTCAAACAAGTGGACCTAAAGCAGGGGAAACTGTGGAAACTGGGGGGAGGGGGCCGGAGGGTGGGGATCATTAACAATAATAATGCAAAACAGGTCTCCTCAAATTATGGCTTCTGCAAATGCCATGATGTCAACTCCAAATTTTTCTTACTTTTCACCTCCCTAATTTATGTCTACTATAAAATTCCCAGGCTAAATAGCTGCAGTGGGACTAATTACAGGCGTTTCTGTAACATTTATAAGCCATGTTTAGTCAATTGCACCTACACAACCGTTACTTTAGTTCTGGCTTGTCCATAAAATTCTACAGTCCAGGACAAATTAATTAACCCGTGATCTCACTTTTAATGTACTCCCCTTCCCTAGTAATTAAGGGGTACAAAATAAAGAAGGGAAAAACTCATTCAGTTTTACAACTCTGCAAATTTAGCACAGGTTATAAATTTGGCACTGTTTGGGTCTGACGGGGTTTTACTCCAGAAAGTGCTCTGTGTAGCTAAGCACTGAGAAGGGTGAACAGCACAGGTGCCAACAGGAAGGAGGTCAGGAAACTGTCAGTGAATTGTACACACCGAAGTCACCACTAGAGCATTCAGCCTTTCTTAAACTAGCAATAGTCTGACTCTATTTCAGAAGGGGGACAGTTGGGGCCTGTGCTATGGCACAGCAGGTAAAGCCACCATCTATGACACCAGCATCCCACATGGGTGCTGGTTCGAGTCCCAGCTGCTTCACTTCTGATCCAACTCCTTGCTAATGTGCTTGGGAAAGCAGCAGAAGATGGTCGAAGTACTTGGGACCCTGAACACATGCTGGAGACCTGGAGGAAGCTCTGGGCTCCTGGGTTTGGCCTGGTGCAACCTTGGTCATTGTGCGCACTTGGGGAGCAAACCAGTAGATGGAAGATCTCTCTGTCTCTCCTTCTCTCTCAGTGTAACTCCTTTTAAAAAAAAAAAAAAAAAACCACCACATTTATTCATTTATTTGAAAGAGTTACACGGAGAGAGAAGGAGAGGCAGAGAAAGAGAGAGAGGTCTTCCATCTGCTGGTTCACTCTCCAGATGACAAGTGGTGCCATCCGAATCAAGGAGCCAGAAGCCTCTTCCTCTCACGTGGGTGCAGGGGCCTAAGGACTTGGGCCATCTTCTACTGCTTTCCTAGGCCATAGCAGAGAGCACGATGGGAAATGGAGGCAGCTAGAACTCGAACTGGCACCCATATGGGATGCCAGCACTGCAGGTGGCTGCTTTACCCGCTACGCCACAGCACCCAGCGTTAACTCTCATCATCATTCAAAAAAAAAGGGAAGGGGGTGGTTGGGTGAGGCACATGGTTTGTACTTTGAATTCAATTCAGAGGCAGGCTGGGTTTGACACAAATCTTGGCTCTGTTTCATTAGAGTACCTCAGATGAGTGACTTGAATTTGCTGGATCCAAGTCTGAAACAGAGAGAGTGAAAGCACTGTGGGTTTATGATCAGGAGCACTCTCCAGCCACTGGCTCTGAGCCCAGTCTCCTGCAGGCAGGTGAAACCACAGAGATGGAAACGGGGTCTGAGGCAGGGCAGATGCAGGAGGTGGGCATGAAAGATAGGGATGGGGGTGGGGTGCGGTGGCGCTGTGGCGCGGTGGGTTAAGCCTGATCTGCAGTGCCGGCATCTCATGTGGGTACAGGTTCGAGACTCCACTTCCAATACAGCTCCCTGCTAATGCATCTGCGGAGGCAGTGGAAGACGGTCCAAGTTCCTGGGCCCCTGCCATCCATGTGGGAGACCCAAAGGAGGCTCCTGGCTCCTGACTTTGGCCTGGCCCAACCCTGGCCATTGTGGCCATTTGGGGAGTGAATCAGTGATGAAAGGTACCTCTATCTTTCCCTCTAACTCAGCTTTTCAAATAAATAAATCTTTAAAAAGAAATCAGAAAAAGAAAGAAGATGGGAGGGCAGGCAACCAACCCAGTGAGCCAGGATCCCCAGGGGCATTCTAGTGTGCTTTGAAAACGTAAGGAACAGAGGGCAAACCAGGAGGGGAGGAGACATGGGGAAAGGGATCCCGTGGCTTCCTACGCATGAGGGCAGGGCTTACAATCGTTCTGCCAAGCTGAACCCTCAGCGTTCAGGGCAGCCAGGGGGAGGGGGAGGGTCCAGTCTGGGCGGGGGAATCCGGGGCTGGCTGACTCAGAACCGCTGACTGTGTCTGAAGCGCTTGTGCAGGACAGCCTTAATAGTAATAAGCACTGATGACCAGCCGGAGGCGCTTGCCCAAGCACTCAGGACCCGCGCCTCCTTTCTCCTCCCAGGAGGTGGCACCAGTGCAATTACAGAGCCAGGCTCTGGGGTGGGCCTCAGGCAGGCGTCCTCAGCTTCTTTCTGCCAAGTAGGGCTAAAACCCCCAGCTTGCTGCTTTTGCTGAGCTCATCTCTCACCACCAGAAGCTCATTTTAACTGCAGATTTATCTAGTGCTCCACTCCCAGGGCCAAGAATAGGCCTGGACTAGAGTAGGTGCAGCAGATGCTTGCTAAGGACTACGGACTAACGTGGTACAGCCCTGGCCGCTGCTTCCGGTGCGTCCCCGTGAGCACACTTGTCAGCCTGCATGGCTAGTTTTCAAATCTTTCCTTTATTGAACACTATCCCTCATTTTTAAAAAGAAACTTTCTCTAAGGTGGGTGAGTGCCCTTGGCAAGCTAGGATTACTTGCTATGTTTTCCAAGGAGGTCCGATCCTTTCTCCAGATCTTACAACTCAAAGGTACAGAGCTGGGGAGACCTGCCCCCAAGCCCAGGGTTCACCCCGTGATGCTGCGCCGTGACCCTAGAACAGGACTACTTCAAGATGGGAGGAACTGGTGATTAGGGAGCTGACAAGGCAAGAGAGGAGCTTTCTCCAACCCTTAAAAAAAACTCACGTAACAGTTCAAAAGCTCTCCTAAAGTACAGACGCTCTACATAAAATGTAGGCCCCATAAAATGAAGAAACACCATTTGGAGGTAATTTTCATCAAGAAAAAGAAGAAGAAAGAGAAAAAGAAATTTACAGCACCAAACACCACTCAGAATGTTCTGTTTTATGGATGAGATTTACAATCCAGTTTTAGCATAGTTAATAGAAATAAAATGTGACAAATAATAAAAATGAGAAAATGCTCATGTGCCTGAAATGATAATAAAAATAGTAGAGTAATAATGATGATGATGGGTCATAAAAGTTTAAACAGTCCTATCCAGAGGAAATGTAGAGTCTCCCCTCTTTTTAATTTTCATGGAATTCTGATTGTATATTCTCTTCAATTAGCCACCAACAGGTTATCAGACTCTGATTTAGTGTTGAGTCACTTTGAAGCAATAAAAACGAACAACTTCAACTAACGTCTTCCCAGACTCACAGCCAAATGGAACACACAGCTGTACTTTGAGTAAGGTGGCTACTTCTCAATTAGAATTATGAACAACATGCTACATGACCATAGGCAGGAGGGTGGCATTCAGGGAGTGCTTCCTGGAGGAAGCAGGCTTTTCAGTTGTACCTTTGCTATGTCAGATATATCAAGTTAAAAAATGTGGACTTTATTCAGAGAGAAAAGGATAAGTTTATTCTGGTGCCAGAAAGTTCTGAAACACAAACATCATCTTTTTTATGTTACACATTTCCTGTGAACTTCTTTAAGACCCCTTGTATTTGTGTGTCTAAAACATTTTTGCACCAAAATAAACTCATCTTTTAGCCCATTTTCCACAAACCTTCTGAAGTGCCCTCCTGGACCAGTCTTGCAAGTGTTTACAGTCATTAAAGACACAGGTCCCCATTCAGCAGGCAGGAACTGGGCACCTGCTATGACAAACACTGGGGATGGGACCTGCAGCAGGTGCTTGGGGAGGGAGGACCAGACTGAGGAAGGAAGGGAGAACCAGGCAGGCTCATTTCAGGGGTTGGGGGGCCTGAGTGTTTGATACTCAGGGAAATGTAGCCATGCTTTACAAGGGAAGTAACGTCCAGAGGGAGCTTCGAGAATCTTGTAAAAACGTACTGTTTACAGTGCCAGATCCTCGCTCCCACACAGACCCCTTCTCCTACACAGGGTGAGGCCCGCAGGAAGACAGTGCTCGCCAGCGGGGGGCCCACGTCCTCTGGGCAACTCCCGAAGGCTCATGCTCAAGGGGCATTTTGGGATACCGCTGCTGCCTATGGGAATGGCAGGTTGGCCAGCGGCGGAGTCACAGCTACTGAAAACTGCTCTTTTCTTCCTTGTCTGCCTCCCTCCCTCCCTCCCTCCCTCCGAGTGCAGAGCTGACTCTGAGCTTTGAACAGAGCACTGCCTTTCGGGTAACACCCCAACCCCACCCCGCCACGTCTCAGCAGGCAGCAAGGTGGCTGGCTGGCTGCCCTGTGCCAGGGGCCAGTGCTGTGCGGCACGGAGCCGCCCTGAGCTCGCTGGAGACCTACCTCGGTGGGCTGGTCGGCAGGCTGCGGCATCAGCAGTTGGTTGTGGTGCTGCAGGACGGTCTTCAGGTAATCTAGCACAGTCTGGCAGGGCACTGTGGGGAAGCAACCACACGGCACATGTCAGCAGACTGCAGCGTGCAAAGACACTTGAAAAGACTTCTTGATGGCAACTTCTAAAAAAAAAAAACCCACACTTTCCAAAGGAAACAGACTCTTCTTTCACTTGACATCCGCAGTTATTTGTAAACACAGAGCAGATGCTACGGTGCGGGAGAATGTCCAGGCTCAGCACAATTCACTGAGAACTCTCAAGTCAAACTTTCTCCCAGATGAATCTGGGTCAATGATAATGAACGCCCCACAGAACAAGACATCTTGTCTTTTCAAATCCAAGTTGTAGCGCTAGCGTCTCATGATGCTTTCTGAAATTAATGTACTAAAAACTACTAGTTCGTGGGCTTGTAATCAGTAATTTAATGCTCAGTTTTAATGACGGATTCCTCCTTGGTTCTTTAGTAAGCAGGAATTCCACCCAGTGTAGTCTCCCTCCCAATATGAATACACCTGGGCACAAGTTTCTGATGCATTATTTGTTTTGGAGGCTTGGTCTTACAGACTTCACTGAATAATTACAGTAACACTGAACGGCTATCAGGCCAACATAGACCTGACATTTCTGGTACTCTTGCACAAATAATGCTGACATATTAAGGTTTCTATGAGAACCCTTTCTGGAGTATTAACTAATTTTTTTAAAAGGCCTTGGTAGCTCAGTTAATAACCTAATTTACACAAACTGCTGCCACTATCTTTCTTAGCTGTGTGTTTTAAGATGTTTTTGTCACATTTAAGAAAAGAATAAATATTTAACCTAAGCCCCGATTTTAAAATCTCACTACTGAGCTTTGCACTTTGATTTTCCCACTTTTTATTTTTTTAAAGACCACAAACTCAAGTTATCATCTTTATCTCCTGCTAATGGCTCTAGGTTTCTTAAGTAAAATCACATTGTTCACATAACAAATCAAAAATTTTATCAATATCATTTTGTAGAATTTGAATCATAGGCAGAGGTCAGGAAATGTTTATTCTTACTATAACAGTGTTTTCTCCAATAACCACCCTCACAGATCTGCATTACAGATCAGTGTCACTGCCACTCCCGCAACTGCTCAATTACCACGCAAGTCAATGAAAATAAGTCACACTGCTAGCAGTGTGAAGCAGACCTATTACTAAGCCAGGTTCATAAAACCTATCAAGTGTCCCTAATTCCACCAGCTTATCAAAAACGTCTAACCCACTTTAGAATGTGTCTTCCTGGGGTGAGCATCTGGCGCATCACTGAAGATGCTGCTTGCGACCCCCTATCCCATATCAGAGTGGCTGGGTTTGGGACTCAGCTCAGTGTCTGCTTCCAGCCTCCAGCTCATGTGCACTAGAGGATGTGGTGACAATGGATCAAGTACTTGGGTCCCAGCCGCCCATGTAGGAGACCCAGACTGAGTTCCAGTTTCCTGGTTTAAGTTTGTCCCAGTCCTGGCTTGGCTGCTGTGAACATCTGGGGAGTGAACTAGTAGGAGGAAATTATGAAGTGGAAAAAGGCTAAAGACTTGAGAAACTAACAGATGGCAGACAGGTCTGCCTTTGAGTTCTCTAACTCTGAGACCTCTGGGGACTTCATTTGACTTCTATGTCTGCATCTCTTCTGCACAGGACTGATAACAGAATTCGAAGCAGCACTGTGTTCTTTACAGTTAGAATAAAATGCAATGGTACATATGTCACTGCTCTCCAAGTGATATGTGCAAGACATTATCTTGATTTAGCTTGAAATTTTCAATAAGTTTGTAAACATTAGGCTTATTAGGATTGAATAAACTTTTTTTTGATCCCTTAAACACATTTTACCACCATCAGGATATTTATGAAAAAAATTTCCAAAGATGCACAAACATGCCTATGAGGTGGCACACAGAACTGAATCTTCAATATGACCTCACCCACATTAAATTAATTATGTGCACAGATAGGAAGCAGGATGAGCAAAGAGGAAAGGAAGAAATAGGCCAAAGTGTTTGATAATAATAATTAACAATGACTGTATTTTATGTGTCAGATTAGGATTTATCTTTTGTCATAGTTATGAAAATCATGAAGTCATTAAAAAAATCTGTAGAGTGGGCACAATAATTTTATAAGTTGTAAGCTTCAAAAAAATGTCTGTCTCCATGTTATCTCTGTGTCTATCTCCCCTGCCTTGCTATGTCACCCTCAGTGGTGGCTGCACCACCCTGGAGGGCTAGGAGGCTCACCTTTCTCTCCTTATACACACAGCACATGGGCAGCAGTGCTGGGCTCCGGTCAAGGCCAGCTGAGTGACACTGCTGGAAGGAAATGGAGTTTATGTGCATTTACTGGCTAGGCAAGGCAAGCAGATCCTGCACACAGGTATCTGAGGATAAGGCTTAAGGCCAGGGAGACAGAGGACAAACTCCTCTTCAGCCAACTTAAACAGCCGCTGCCCTGGGTGCTGGAGAAGCACTCTCCCCTGTGGCCCTCCCAAACACGATCTCGCCAAGGCAGGGGCTTCCAGCCCAGGGTCAGAGGGGACCCTGCTGCTAAGCACTGAGAACATCACTCTGGACTTGGGGCTCTTTGGATAGTAGCCTACAATTAGACAGGAAAGCAATAAAGTAAAATGAAATAATTTGGGGCGCAGGAATCAGTGTGTCTGTTCAGTGGAAGCAGGCGTGTGGAACATGTTATCCTGGCCCACAGCTATGCCATGCTGTCTGCCTGGGAGAAACATGGGCACTGAAAGGCAACCACGAAACCTCCTGTCCACCTGTTGCTTTCTTCTGATAACACACAGTTCTACGGACAACTGTGCGATTCCTGCATGAGAACTCGGCCCTCAAAGAGAAGCCAGTGCTTCATGTGATTGTGTGCAACGCAGGCTACCATCTGGCTCCTTCGAAGGGAGGTGTTATCAGGTTAGGGTTTACAGCAGCACCTAAAAAGAAAACAATACATCAACAGGGTCCCTAAGTAGTGGGTTATGCCCCACACGCCGTAACAACTAATGGTTTCCTTGTGCAAATCATGAATGTTAAGCAAGTCCCTCTCAGTGATGGAGAAACCACTATCTCACACTGGGCAGATTCATTCATTTGCTTGCTCATTCTGCAAAAACAAAGTCAAAGGAATCTAGTAGGTTTAATGAAACATAAACCATATCAAGTTTTTTAAAAATTATGTATTTATTTGTATTGTCACTTACTCTCTACGCCATCCTTGGCAAATCACTTAATCCCTCTGTGCCTCTGTTGTCTCACCTGTGAATCTGGGACAGTTACCCACTGCACACCCTGGAGTGTAGCAGCAGCTACTCTGCACCTACACTGCACCTACTCCAAGTGTTTTTTACTCTCTTAAAATGTCCTATTATCCAGAAATTGTCTTTATTTATTTATTTTTAATTAATTAATTTATTTTTTGACAGGCAGAGTGGATAGTGAGGGAGAGACAGAGAGAAAGGTCTTCCTTTGCCGTTGGTTCACCCTCCAATGGCCACAGTGGCCGGCGCGCTGCGGCCGGCGCACCGCACTGATCCAAAGCCAGGAGCCAGGCACTTCTCCTGGTCTCCCATGGGGTGCAGGGCCCAAGCACTTGGGCCATCCTCCACTGCACTCCCTGGCCACAGCAGAGAGCTGGCCTGGAAGAGGGGCAACCGGGAAAGAACCCGGTGCCCCGACCGGGACTAGAACCTGGTGTGCCGGCGCCGCTAGGTGGAGGATTAGCCTAGTGAGCCGCGGCGCCGGCCTCAGAAACTGTCTTTATTATCACTTTTTAGTCTTTTAGAAAATGACACCAGTGATTTGCAAATTTTCTCACTTGTTAAAACATATTTGCAACCCTCCAAACAATGTATGTCACGCTTTTGCAGTTCTTTGCACGCATGTGCAGAGCAAGGAGAAATCCGAGTCGTGTGACATGCACATATCCCCAGCTGAAGCTGAACAAAGTTATCTTCTCTTCCTGTTTCAGCTCAGACACTCCAAACAAGTGTCCCTACCTAGTCTACTTAGTGCTATGCGGTTTTGTTTCTGCTTTTTTCTGGTGATTTCACTGTTTAAGTGGTCAATTATGGTGCTGGAGTGCTGTTTAATGTTGCTAACAGGAAGAAGGCTATGATGTGCCTTACAGAGAAAACAGGTGTGTTAGAGAAGCTCAGGCATGACTTAACAGAGCTGCTGCCACAAGTTCAACGTTGATCAACCAAGAACAAATATTAAATAAGGTCTCTTTAAATAAACATACACATAAACAAGATCATGTGTTGATCAGCTGATGAAAATGTCCACTGAGTTGCAGGAACTGAGCTCTGTATTCCGCCCAGGAGTAATGTTTCAGCATTCATTGATTCAGGGTTCACCAGTGACTTCTCAGAGCACAGTCACCACAGAGAAGAAGAACTGGCTGTACATCAAGGGTGGGGGGGTACACACTAGATGTGGAGTGAGACGGCTTAGCGTGTGGCCCCGGTCTGCAGCTGACATCACCTACCCAGATCTCAACCTCCATGTCTGTTAAATGGGAATGACGTTAGTTGTCACCCAAGAGAGTTATAAGAAAAACTTGGGATGATCACAGTGTATGCTTTAGAAAGCAGAAGGCCCTATAAAAGTATCAGCAATACTCTTCAATAAATGGTCCTAGAAAACTGGATGTGTACACACAAAGGAATGAAATTAGACCCTTATCTTACACCACACACACAAATCAACTCATAATACATAAATGACATTTAAATGCAAGACCAGAAACTTTATAAAACTCCTAGCAGAGGGGGAGGTCATTTGGCCTAATGGTTAAGATACCCATGTTCCACATCTGAGTTCACGGGTTCAGCATCTGGCTCCTGACCCCAGCTTCCCACTGATGCTGACTCTGGGAGACAGTGGTGCTGGCTCCAGTGATTGGGTTCTGCCACCCATGTGGGAAATGCAGATTGTGTTCCTAGGTCCAGTCCCAGCCCAGGCCGCTGGAGGCACTGGGGGAGTGAACCAATGGATGGAAACTCTGTATG